TGCGGGATGTTCTGCTCCCATGCTGGCATCGGCCCAGGATCGACAGGAGACGCTCTCATGATCCCTTGGTCCAATACGTTCTTTTATGCATTTCCACCTATCCCACTCATAACAAGGGTCCTAGCCAAGATCGTGTATGACGGTGCCACGGGGATCCTGATCACCCCCTGGTGGCCCCGGCAGCCATGGTTCCTTACACTCCTCCGTCTGTCCAGCAGCACCTTTCTCCGCCTGCCACTCATACCTCATCTAATAACTCAGCAGGATGGAGCTCTTCATCACCCGGATCTTCCCTCACTCAGCCTAACTGTCTGGCTCATTCGATAAACCATGGGTCCCATCCAGTACTAGAGGAGTCAGGGACTCCTACACTTATCTGACATGGTCCTGACACAGCTTCTGTCTCCCCGATCCCAATGTAGTACACATCGAATCCGAGCACTCTCCATCCCAATATTCAGTTTATTCTCCAGTCTGCCCTAAGAGCTGCAACTTGTCGTTCTTATGCGGCCAAATGGAGACGCTTCACATCCTTTGCGGAATCCAATAGCTTTACTGCTCCTTCAACCTCTGTTGAAAATATTCTTCTATTTCTCTTACCACTCCATCAATCGGGACTTAAGCCATTGTCTATTAAGGTTTATACAGCCACAATTTCCTACTACCGCAGGCACGTGCAGGGTTCTTTGGTTTTTTCTCACACCCTCATATGTCAATTCCTTAAGGGTTTGCAGAACCTTCAACCACCACTTCGTCCAGTTGTTCCTACCTGGAGCCTTTCGGTTGTTCTCCAGGCACTCACCCGAGCTCCTTTCGAGCCCCTGGCAACCACTGACTTACACCTCCTGTCTTGGAAGACTGCCTTCCTCCTTGCAGTCACGACTGCTAGAAGGGCTAGTGAACTCTGTGCACTCCGGATAGATCCTCCTTACCTTAACTTTCATAAGGAGAAAGTCATTCTCCGCACTGATCCAGCGTTCTTAACCAAGGTTGTGTCTCCTTTCCATATTAACCAGGAAATTGTCTTATCTGCCTTTTTCTCTACGCCCGCTACTCCAATGAACAGTCATTGCATTCTCTCAACGTTTGTTGCTGCCTTGCCTTCTACAGGTCTTGCACGGAGTCTTTCCATAACTCTAACCACCTCTTTGTTAAATATTCGGACCATGATAAGGGCTCCCCTTTTGATTCGCAGAGGCTTTCAAAGTGGATTGTACAGACCACTGAGCTAGCCTATCAGCTTGCCAAGCTTGACTTACCTGTCATGCCCAGAGGGCATTCCACGAGAGAGGTAGCGGCCTGGCATTCCGATCCAGAACATTTGCAAGGCTGCTGCTTGGACTACTCCTTGCACCTTTGCCAGGCATTACTGCCTTGATGTGCATGCCAGGCACAACTGCTCTTTTGGCCGAGCAGCCCTTTCTTCAGTCCTTCAATGATGACACCGCCAACCTCCGGGTTTGGTAAGCTTGCTAATTACCCATATGTGTGATGCACAGAGGCCACGATGAAGAAAGGCAGGTTGCTCACCTGTAACTGTCATTCTTCGAGTGGTCATCTGTGCATTCACACAACCCAGCCGCCAACCCCGCTCGGTGTCGGTGATTGGGTTTGCACGGTACCATTTCTTTGATACCGGTCCCATTACTGCCCTTTTCTCTCTATGGTTCAGGAGATTCCCTGCAATATCTCTCGCTCCCGCGAGGGTGCGAATGATGGGTCTCCAGTAGGAAATGGCGGGCACTCCGCCCTTTTTATACCATTGGGGGGGAGGGGTGCGGAGTTCCCGCCAAAACTGTTAAGCTTTTAAATCTTTCCAGCCATAGGCACTGCGCAGGCGCAGCACCCATATGTGTGATGCACAGATGGTCACTCGAAGAACGACAGTTACAGGTGAGCAACCTGCCTTTTCCTGGTAGCTCTAGCAATGGGAGATGGCGAAAGCATGGTTTGTTCTGACCAGGATATAGAATATATGATGACAGCAACTAGCAGATCTAAGCACTGTGTACAAGAAGAGTACCTTATTCACATGCAAGTGGAGCAGTTCTTGATTTGTGCCAGTTTCTTCCTCCAGACCCAAACTCATGTGCCATGCTGGATGGTTCCTTCAGGGGGAGTTTTCAAAGTGTGCAAGACTCTGTAAATAGGAAGAGGCCAAAAAGCCTGTAGAGTGAAGCTCTATTCACTCATCCCTTGTTCCAAACCAGTTTATTGACAGTCCCTAACTAAGAGCAAAGGAGGCAGATCCAGTAAGATTCTAAATCGTGGGTGGGCAACATCATTTTCCAGAAAATCTAAAACTCTGTGTGAAGAAAAATGTATTCTAAATCCAAGAAAATAAATTCTGGAATATAATCTATTTCTAATTAGTACTCATTATACCATTTTTTACATGTTTGTGATGCCTCAAGGCAGCTTAGTTAAAATCACAATGCTGAATAATGGTAAAATTTCATAATTTACACAATTTACACTGGATCCACAACCATTTGGAAAGATTGGTATTTTTTCCCCGAAATGTAGATTGTTTTCATTCAGCTTATCTATTGTGAGTTAAAATAAAATTTAGCACTCATAGAACATTTTCACAGCTGAGTGGAATGCTGGTGTGCAGTGTAGAAAAACCTTAGAGCTTTCCATTCCAGGGAATAGCAAACACATTTGACAGACACCTTTCAACACTGATAATCTCAGAAATAATTTTAAAGCTCTTCAGTGAGACAATTTAAGTTTGAATTTAGTTACTTCCCTGGCCTTTGGAATTCTTTTAAAAAATGATTTTTTTTCAGTTTGAGGAAGAACCAATCCATGTGGTGCAGAATTCCATGTGGGAAAACATCCTTTCCACTTTGTAATTCCTTATTTCTTTATGGACTCGCTGCATTACGGTGTAGCAAGCACTACAAAACTGCAGAGCTGTGATGCATTGGCCAGGTGATACTTTTTGCCTGCTTAAAGTTTGTTAGTTAGATACACACTTACTTTCTTGCCCAACACATACCCCAAAGATGTTAGCTACCTTGTAGCCCGTCTTGTGCCAATGCTGTTGTGATTTTTATTTGTATCAAGTTGTTGTGTTTCCACACTTTAATTCCTTTTGGTGTTACAGCATGAGCAGGGCAACATAGGACAGTGTCTTGTTGTACAATAAGATGTTTTCCTAGAGTTTGTTTTGTCATTAGAAGCTCAGGTGACGGCGGTGGCGAGGAGCGCTTTCCTTCAACTTCGGCTGATCCATCAGCTGCGTCCCTATCTGGAGAACGATTGCCTGGTGACACATGCACTGGTAACTTCCCGATTAGACTTCTGTAACACGTTCTACGTGGGGCTACCCTTGAAGACGATCCGGATACTTCAATTGGTGCAAAACAGAGCTGCCAGGTTGCTGACGGGGACTGGGCGTTGTTCTCATATAACCCCAGTTCTCCATCAGCTTCACTGACTCCCCATTGAAGTCCGGGCCCAATTCAAGGTGTTGGTTATCACCTATAAAGACCTTAACAGCTTGGGACCTGGTTATCCAAAGGAGCGCTTGCGTCCATATATGCCCTCCCGTCCCTTCTCCGGGAACCCTCCATGAAAGATATTAGGAGGGTGCGTATCCGGAGGAGGGTCTTCTCTGCGGTGATGCCCCACCTATGGAATGCGCTTCCCAGAGAGGTCTGCCTGGCACTGTCGTTATTTGTTTTTCGGCGTCAGGCCAAGACCTTTTTATTTAAAAGTTATTTTAATTGTTAACTTATGAATTGTATTTATGGGATTTTTAGGTATATGCCGAGATGCTTCCAGTTTTTTAACTCTAATTGTACAAATTTTTTATTTATGTTTATTTATTATTGTTGTAAGCCGCCCCGAGGCTTTTTGCGAATGGGGTGGCATAAAAATGGTTTAAATAAATAAATAAGATATAGGCATTTTACTAGACTTTTAGTAAAAATTTTACTAGACTTTTTTACTGTGACATTTGACTGATGTCAAGGACTGATCAGAAACATCACATGAAATGGGAGTCCTCACTGTATTAATGGGAATATATAAATATATCAGCAGTTATCCCAAGCATTCAAAGTAACTTACTCCTGAACGGCACCTATGTACAATTAGTAAGTGATGGAGAAGCCAAAGAAGGTTGGTACTCTGTGCTTAACTGTCAGGTAGGTGTAAATGTTTACCATGGTGTAAGGACACACATATGACTGAATACGTGTTTGTAAAACAAAACAGGAAAAAGATCCCTGCAGTTTAGTTTTCTGTGCAGAGGATTTTTATATGCAGTGGCATTCCCTTAACTTAAACATCGACTTAAATCGCTGAAATACTGCAATCCAGATATAGGTTTATCACCTAAGTAGAAATAGGTGGGAGTAGAGAGTAAGTGGACTGTAGGAACTACTGGATATCTTTAGTGCATAGCATGTGGAGGACTGAACAGTTCTTTGCTGTCTCTGGTATGAACAACAGTTTTCATATTGATACTTTTGTGTCCTGGGATTACTATAAAGAGTAAATCATTTGCTGCTCCAAGCTAGATTTGAGTTCTTTGTTCAAAATCCCAGAATCTGGAAAAAAGGATGTGGGAGTCTTGCATTGACACACAGGCTATACAATTGCATTTGTTGTTTTGAAATAACTGTATGTATGGAGTCAGACTTGTCACCCTTTGCCAGGCATACTACCTTGGCAGTTCACCTCTTGCATTTTAAAGAATTCTAAACAATTGTGTAAAAGATGGCTATTTGACACTTCCAAAGGAGTAGAATATAGCAAGCAAAGATGTGAAGGAAATAATTTGTTCAAATTTGCATTTATCAAAAATATACAAAAATTCTAAAATTTGTATATCAAAAATATACAAAAATTCTTAAAGTATTTCATACAGTCAGTGAAGTTTTCCATATACTTCAGTTATCCAGTTTGGTGTTCTGCAAGATTCGCCTTAAGACCCTTGTATAAACCCTTAAAAAAATTCTCCAAATTTCATTAAAAGTTGAGTATTTTATTTCAATATTGATTTTTAGGAGTTGTATTCATACACTTTTAAGAACAATACACTTAAATGAAACTCACTATTATGTTGTGGAATACACAACCAGATGAGGCTACACATAGAAAAATTCACATAGCCAACAACAGTTTGAATGATGTTATAGGTGTGTGTGCTGACCAGTTCTGGAATTCTGCTTTATCTAGTTTCTGTGTTGATCTACCCTCTCACCTTTCTTGCTGCATATTAAGAATGTTGCTTGAATCCTCTGGTAGATTAAGATGATCTATCATTAACAAGAACAACATCCATTATATGCCGGTTGGCATTAACATTGGTATTTCTGGATATTCATAAGCTTAACTAAAGGCAGGTGTCATCTTAGTCTTAACTATACTGTCTATATCAGATAAGCTCAGTAAAGTATTACATGAGTAAAGGAAGGTCATTTAGAGACAGAACAGGTTGAATATTATAAAACAGTGCAATTCAGAAGAGCATTTTTATGTAGATGGGTAGACCCATTTCCACATGTGTTTATCTTAGTATATGGGTGAATTGTTAATGCCTATCTCTAGTTCACTAATTTTAATGTATATAAGCTACAACACAACAGTATAGTTTGCTCTGGTGCACTGCATGTTAACTTTGCTGCACTAACAGGACAGGTAGAAATGCTAACTTTACATGTGCAGTTACTAGCTGAAACTTCATAACCGAAGGGCTTTCTGTAATTTAGAAATTAGACTTTTTTTTGTTTTAGCTGCAGAAAAGCTTACTTTGCAGCCAGTGCCTGTATGGAGCTGTGGGCGCATCCATAGTTCACATTCCAAGTGGTTTTCCTTCTTTTGGGTTTATCCCTGATGTTGTAAAGCTAGTCTAATTCAAGTTTGATATCCTTTTTTCCTTCTCCCAGCCACTCATAATTCCTAATAAGTTGGGTGTGATGAGCAATTTGCCATGCCCAAGAAGCTCCTTAAAATGGATATAATTCCTTATTACAATTGCTCAGTCTCATTGAAACAGTAACAGCTGCCTTCTCCCACATCGCAACATGCCTTGAACACCCAATTTAATATACCTTTCCATGACTGCCTAATCCAGTTAGGAAAATAAAATGAAATTGTGAAAGAAAAGGGCTACTGAAAAAATAATAATAATAAATCAAAACTAAATCATAAAAAATGGATAAACAGTCCTTACAACTTCTGCACATGTGTTTATTATCATTGGTTTACAGCAGAGATCTCAAAGGTTCATTAATGGCAACACTAATCTAGACAATTTATGTGTTTTATGTTGTTATTGAGGTTAAGTGAAAAAGAAATCTGAAAGGGACTTAATGTGCGAGCTTCAAAAATTAAGGCCTTATATTCTTTGGGGACACCTTGAAGAAGAATGAATAATATTGGGAATTTTGTTACTTTCTCTAAAGTCATGCTGACAGCAAGTAAAAGCTTTACTGCAAGTTTAGGAAATACTTTCTGTTTGCTTGCTTTTGTTTAACTGTTGGTCAGCATTTGCCAATACAATTTTTTATACTCTTGCTGCATACACAGCTCAACTGACATTAACAAATAGATTGTATTTCTACCTAGGGAATTCTGCAATTTGTTATTGAACTTTTAAGGCAACTATGTTATGAAGCAGAGAACGTAGCCTTTGGTGACAATCTAGAGCTTCAGCGCCTAGCAATGGGAGAGCCAGACCGGGAACCAGGTCGGGAACCAGAACCTCCCTTTGGAAAGAAAAAAAAATGAAATGAGGTTAATATGAGCATACTGCTCAGGTATGTGACACACAGCAAGTTTCATATCCTGTGATATAAATCAATCCCGATATTCTGCATTGACTATTCTGCATGACTAGTATCCAGTCTTCATTCAATTTTTGTTGAGATCCTAAACAGGGTCCTTTGTTTGATTGTGTGTCCTAGATTTCCTGAATGTTTTTATCTTTGACATATTGCATTTGGAAATACAGTTTTTCTTTCTGGAAATACTATTTCAAATATGGTTTTGCTATACACTGAGTTCATACTCATGACATGTCAGATAAACAAGGCCTGCTAGCATTTTCTATAATAAATTTCTTTAATTTTTATTAATAGATATGCGTTAATTATTTCTAGTAGATTCTCTTCATTGTTGCTGGAGACAACAGAGAGACCGAGTTCACTCAAACCAAACCAAAAAAGGGGAAATTCATTTGCAGTTATACCTGCTTCCAGCTAATCTGGATATGGTTAACACCAGCAGTTACTACATTTCTGGGTTCTTAGCAAATAACTCTCAAGGGTGAGCACTCGTGGAATACCTTTAATTAACAACACTGAGTCATATTCTTTCTTTCTGCAATTCTGGTGTGTACTCTGAATGCTTTGACCAAGATAAGGAAAGGTGCTCTTCTAACTGCACATTTTAAAATTCCCTCCACATTGAAGATCCCAGTCACCCTGCTCTCCATCCATGTTCAGCTGCTATTGCAGCTACTGTGCACTTCCATTTTTCCACAAACATTCAGAAGAAAGGGAAGATCACTGCTCCCTTACTTGTGCAATGTTTTTTAGCTGTTGTAAATGCCAGCTAGAAAAAGCACTGGTGATCTGGCTAGGGAAACCACTTGCCTTGAAAGGCATTCTAGGTTCAGTTGAACTATTCACTTTATTTTGGTTTAGGATTTTCCCCTCCATTTCTGTATGGTATTTAGGTTTCTTTAAAGGTTAGCGGATACTTAGAGGCTACTTTGCTGTTCTTACGGTGCTAGCAAAGCGACAAACAAAAGGCAGGAGACCTAGAGAGTTTAGCTATGAAATGAGAACAGCAAGAAGTTTTAGGGATCTCTTTTTTGGATCTGTTCCCACCACAAATGCAAACTCGCATTTGTGTCTCTTGTAGAGTTGTGCTAAATGGTTTGTATTTTCTTCTTTCAATATTTCTCTGTTCATTTGTATTCTAAACTGCTACTGAGTAACATCATTGCTTACTTGTATCAATCAAAATAAGCAAAGTGTTGTAATTATATTTAATGGACTATTAATTATGTCCTATGAATCATTGATTTCTGCATTTTAAATTTCACAGAAATTTTCCTCTCATTAATTCTTGTTGAATGACTCATGCTTCAAAGAAAATGCTGGGTAAAGTATAAATAATGGGTGCCATTTCATATAAAGTTATTCATTAAGTAATCATGAATTTTTGAAAATGTTTATGATGTGGGAAACATTGCACTTACAGGAAGCTTGGATGAAATTGCCATAATATTTGATAGAAGAGAGCTTTATTGGTATACAAATCTAATGGTCAATTTTAATGGCATCTGTGTTAGAACTGAGAATTAGGTTAGTGTGTTTCTACCTAGAAACACATTCATGAAATTGAAAGTTTCACAAATCGTGCTTAGGACTAGATATATGTGAGAACATTTAAATGATTCTGCATAAAATAATCAATAGTATTGATTGGAAATAGTTCTGCATATTTTCTTCAGAGTGGTCCCTGTTTATTTCAGCTGAGCATGCTTTCACATGTCACAGCCTAATTCAGTGTATTTTGCCGAAGTCATATAACTTTGAGTATAACAATCATTTTTAAAACAGCCCATCAGGACAAATTAAAATGAAGCAATGTTTAGGGTCTTTGTTGAAAACAGATAGATGCTGAATGCCAGTTTTCATTTACGGTTTTGAATAAACTACACAGGTGATTAATTGTTTAAAATATGTCACATTTAGTCTTGCTGGGCAAGATACAGTGCTAGCAAAGACAGAATCCATGTTGTGCAACAGGTAATCCCACACTTTCATGTGAGGAAACCTTAAATTCTTCCAGTTTAGTCAGAATACCTTGATTTTGACTGTCATTCATTTCAGTAGGAGTAACAGTTATGATCCCACACAGATTTATTGGAAGCAAATCCTACTATGTTCAATAGAACTTACTTCAAGGTATATATTCATAGGATTACATCTTAAATTCTAGTACCTCATGTCAATTAGAGTGTGGTTCAAAATTTTCTCTCACTTGCAATATTCACATAATTTCTTACAACTCTTCACTAGTATGTTTTTAGTACAGTGATGTGTTGTATGAGAAACCATCAGTGTCTAATGACTAGAAGGCAGCTTTCTCATTTGCATCTCTAATAGGACCTACATCATCAAAACAGCTATTTGGCAAGGTAGTTTTGGGTGATTTTCCTCCTCCTGCACATCTGTTAGATGATGACCCTGTTTCCACCCTGTGCCATGTTGTACATCTCGTGTTTTATTTCTCAAGCCATATTCTTTATGAGGCGGCTTACTTGGCTTGCTGCTTGGGAGACATTGTGTGGATCATAGACGGTCAGCTATTGTTGCTGTAGCATGAGGAGTATTGGGTTATGTTATCAAGCATCAACATGCCCAACTTCTTTACAAATCTAACGTCCTTCCCTTTTACAAGTCATGTTGCTGGGATGATAGTTTAGGAGTATTTGCTCTGATTATCAGACAAATTTGTTATATGGCAATCTGATAGCTGGAGAATAATTTCTTCCTCTTCCTCTCACAATCTAGATTGTTTTGTTTTGGAAGTTTGTTTGTTTCCTTTTTTTTTTTACTTTACCAGTTTAAAGATTTTAGACAGTGTTCCCTGGCCATCGTGGTATCCCTTGTGTCCCTTGTGAGCATATTTATGCTCATAGAATTTGCCACTTCCATATCCAGGCTTGTGAGTTTCACCACCCTGCAAAAGAGAAATAGCAAATATTTCCAGTTTGACATTGGAATGCAATGTAGTAGAGTTTTCCTTCTGCTAGGAAAACTGAAGGGATGCTATTAAATGAGCCATGAGCCTGGAAGAATAGTCCTGCACTGTGATTACAGCCAACATACAAATGATATCACCATGGAGAGGACCCAGCAGATAAATGCATTCATCTTTCAAGCATGTCTTCCTTTGAAATCATTTTACTAAATATTTTTCATCAGAATGGGAAAAACAACACATTATGGAACACAAATGCTTACCTGTCAGTGCCATCCACTTTTTGAATGATAAAAAGTTGAAATAATCGTATAACATGATGAAGAGGTCTGGTACTTCAAGTATGATTTTTCATTTGATATCACATTCCACAACTGCAAAGTGGAGCTTTAATTTAAGAGCGTATTTTCCAGGATTGGTAAATACGCTGTGTCCATTGCAAACATGTGAACTTCCTTAACGAGCACAAACAAGGAAATGATCTCTTTTTTCAAAACTGCACTTCATATCAAAGTGATGAATCATTTCAATTAGTCTTGCTCACAGCAACCATGTTAAAGGATAAAAGAAAATTCAGTATCCAGAGCTGACTAAGTTACTGAGGTTGACAGGGCCATGCTGCTGCCTAATTGAGGAAATTACTAGGACCTGAATTGAGATCACTGAAGCATTTAACTGGGACCATAAAGCAATTCAAAATGTCCTTTAATGGATGGTAAAATATCTAGTGCAAGATGGACACTGACAATGTGTTCTTGAGCTAGGTGTACATTAATAGCCTATGGGATTCTTTTCATTTTATTACTTCCATGAACTTTTCTTTAGTTCTGCCACCTGGTAAAGACATTTTTCCATTCAAACATGCCTTTCCTGACTGAAGGGCCATCCATAGCCTTGTTGGTGAAATTTTAAATATACATGTGCATACATAAATTCACCACTTAGGAATTATTTAAATGTAGATCTATTTATTAATGTTATAAATAATAAAATAAACTTTTACTAAATCCAGGATGTTTTAAAGATGTTCTTCTTATAGCAGGAGTTTAACTTATTAGTAATTAAGGACAATGACAGACTAACCTATGTGCAAATTTTAAGCTAGTGCTGTAGAATTTGATCATTGTGACTAATTCAGTGATGTGGGTCATTGGAAAATTGCATTGGCTCAGTGTGGATGAATGCAAGAAAAAGCCCTTCAAAACGATCCATATTCAAAGTATGGACAATAGCTTTTTAAGTTCTATGTCTCTCAGTTACAGAACAATTTTTAAAGTTTAGCCATTTTTTTCCTCATCTGATTTGTAATTTTCTCTAGCTTGGGTTGGGAAATAACTCAGTGGAGAAAAATTTGTTCTGTGATGTGTGTGGTTGCATTACAATGCTCCAATATTTCCTTGTGGTGTTCTACTTAATGGTCATGTATAATTCAGCCTACAATGAAGAACAAAAGCTACTGTATAACTTCTACCTATCCCTTCTATCTGTTTCTTTAGGAAAAGATAGTCCTTGAAGAACGTACAAGGTGTTTATTAATGGCCATGTTGTGCCACTCTACAGAAGCTGTGCACATTTTATGATTGAACTGGAGTTATGCTATTCTTTCAAACAATTTTTTTAATATTCACACACACACACATATCAGTAGAATCTTTAAATGGCCTTAAAAGAAAGAAATATGCCATGCATTAAAGTTGCTCTGTGCTCAGGCAAAACAGATTTTAATTACACTGTAAGCTTGACAGGCCTCTGGATAAAAGCAAGCAACAAAAGTGGACATAAAGAAACTGCTTTGGAGCAAAAACCAATCAGGAAGAATAAAAAAAGCCAAAGTCAAAACATGAGTGTCAAGATTCTGAAGCAGCTGGAAAGGCAAAACAGGGAAAACAGATGCTTATTTGGGCCTCGGGAAAGCAAAACAGCTGCAAGGTAAAGCGTGTTCATCACCTACCCAGCTAAATCTGCTGAAGGATAATCCTCTTCCCTGCACATATAAGAAACAGAAACAGTGACAAGGTGACCACCATGGAACAAAAAGGCACTGGAGGTATACAAGAGTGGAATTATCAGTGAAAAAGGGTTTCTAAGCTAAGATCATACTTTCATAAATCAGGTGGCTGAGGGGCAGATTAGAGACATGCAGCGTCTTTTAGATTATCATCTTCAGGTTCTTGTAATCTTCTAGAACAGATTACTTCTCTAAAGCACATGCAAGTATTGCCAGAAATGGTTGGGAAAATCTGACTCCTTGCATAATTTGTAACTCTCTCATAATTACAACTGCCTAAAGTTAAATGAGGAAACTGCTATCAGTTTCTGCTTACATACATTTCTGCTTCAATCATACGATATGGATCTCTAAATGGCATGCTTTGCATTCATGATGCTTTGATTCAGTCTCGGTTTATGCATCAGGGTTTAGAAAGTCATTTGGCTGAGACCTAGATTTGAGATCAGTTTTCCAGCCTAGATTTAAGAATACTACTCCTCCATTTGGATTTTTATATTCTGTTGTCTTACATAATCTGGTATACTAAGAGGAATGGACTAGATATTTAGATCTGTGTGTTTTCCAGATTCAGTCCAAAAATTAAGACATATCTGAAAGCACATCTGAGCATTGTCCCTTCAAATACTCTAACTTCGAGGACTTGCAGTGCTTACCAAACTCTGTTTAATATTATTAGATTTTTGTCCTAGATTTCATAAGCCTTTCAACAATAGGGAAATCCAGTGGATGTGTATGTAAATGTGGGTCTGCCAAGATTCCCTTCAAAGCTATGAGGTAGACAGGCTTCACTGTTGCAAGGTGGAGTTGACATGGCAAAGTTGAGTACAGCTTCCCGCTGGAGTTTATTGATGTATGTAATCACCCCTGAAAGCAGTGCAGGGATGAAAACAGGGCAAGAAAGGCACACGGTTCAGCACCAGCCTGAACATATAAAGAAACATGAAAGCAGAGCAGTGAGAGTGTTGATGAAAGCCTAATAGTTGGTATTGGGCCAACTGTGGTCTTTGAAGATGGCCCTGAAGAAGATGGGCTGATAACCGTTTGTGTGCTTCAAAATCTATTCTGTCTTTGGAGGAATCAGGGAAAGAGCGTCATGCTTTCCGATCAGGCATACGGCTGCTTTAAGACTTCACTGTGCATGTTTTAAGGTGCAGTTTACATTGCATAGTAGCATTCTGGGAGGGTGGGGGAGTAGAAGTAATTCTAAATAAGGAATCCTGGTTCTCCGTCCTTAATGAAACACGCATTGTGGAAGTGCAATGTTCATAATGGAATATTTACCTTTGCTTGCAGAGGAGGAGTTGTCCTGGGTGACACCTGAAAAACGGTATAAAATTTAAAATAAGAACAAGTAGGAAGTACAACAACAATAACAAAAGTAGTGAGGCATGTATGTTCTCTTCTAGGATATTCCATTATATTTCCCTCAGCCCTGATTTTCTGTTTCTTCCATCCCCAACAGCCAGCCACTAGGCTTAGCTCACTGAGCATGCCCAGGCTTCACTGGGGTTCATTGGTGACCATGTAAGGAGTTAATGGCCATTTTTTGTATCTAAACTTGCACAGGATTGTGTCATGAACTGTTTTCTTTGCAGTTTTTTCCTGCATTCACAAGTGGAAGCCAATTAATTGGAACAGAGGAAGGGTAATTAATGTGAACCAGAATGTCTTATATTTTGGTTTAACTTGTGTTACTGGGGAAAGGAGGAGAAATAGACCCAGGGTGTTGCTTTCAGCAGTTGTTATGTATCTCCCATGATGTCTAGTTCTCCCCTAAGTCAAATATGCAATGAGCTATATTTTCTTTGATTGTCTACCTATTTATTTGAATTTCAATTGCTTCCTTTTTCTGAGGTTCAAGGTTGGAAACAGTCAGTTCTTAAAACTCCATGCGCAATTTCAGATAAATCCTCTATTTCTATGGCTGTTTGGCTGTGCATAGAAAGGTGAGACTGAGGGATTCATTAATATCTGTACAACTGCAGGAAACTAGAAAACTTTATCCCTGTGCTTAAGCTGCGTTTTTCTATTTCTTTTTTTTGGTAAGGCCATTTTCTTCATGTCTAACCAGGAATGGGCATCTCTCTCCACCCAAGCATGTTCTATCATGAAGCACTGCAGTTTCCACAGGGAATTCTGTCCATAGTTTTGAAGAATGACTGGGGTTAGGGAGAGAGGCTGAAGCCATCATTTGAAGTGGCAGCCAAGCTGTTTCATTTTTCTAGTAGCATTATAGAAGATGAAGAAAAACCACAAGCAGCATTTCATTTTCAAAGGTAAGGCCACTCTTGCCCAAAAGAATTTGATTCCATGCAAGAATCCAGATTTGGGAAGCACATAAACACATGCTAAATCATTTGTATATTCTGTTGGGAGTGAGAAGGATTGTGGCTTTGGGTGTTTACCCTCAAGGATTGCAGGCTGGACTTCAGAAGAATCCAAATTGGAATGTGAAACAGAATAGGAGGTGGCTAGAGTGGATGGCCTGTGCCAGGATACCAAAATGAAAGAAGCAGAGGTGCTTATTCCAAGGTGAGGCCCCTCAGGTGGGGAAGGCAGCCCATGGGAATATTCAAGATACACAGCAGGCAGGAAGAGACCCTGAACATGTGAGTTTCTCATATGTGGACCAGGCAGGCTTGGCTCTTGACCACCTGCCATGGCATCAGCAGAAAACAGTGGCCTAATTGCAGGGTTGGTGTGTGGAGAGGAGGTGTGCTCATTTTCAGAAGACCCCTTCTGAAGGCGTGGTGCCAAAGCATACTCATAAGGAGAGTTTCTGGAGGCGAATACAGATTGGATGCAACAAACTGCTCTGTGCATGCTCAGAGATTCATTCTGGGTGAATTGTGATTTTGGGTCAAGAATACATTGCAAGAAAAGTGGTCTGTGGCTTTTGGATGCTCAAAGGAAGAATCTAAGCTTTAACATGTCTATTAAAGAGAATGCAAAAGCATCTCTCTAGAATGACCTGACCCTTAGGGATTTCTGAGGGCTTACCTCTTAGTATAGAAACAGCTCAGTTTGAAAATGGAAAAACTCTGCCTCTGAAATGACAGCCTTTAGCAGGTATTCCAACTAGCGCTATTTGTGCCTCCAGATTTGTTTGCTTGGTCTATGATTTCAAACAACAATCTTTAAATGCCATTCATTCATTCTACTCATGACTGCCTAACACAGTCAGTTAAGAGTAGAACATTCAATACAAAGCAAACAATGATCCCAGACTGGTTTCTTTCAAGAAAGACAGATACAGACTGGGGAAGGGGGAAAGAGTTGAAAACAGAATTAGTACCTGAAGACTTGCTTTTAGAATTGGATGATTTGCAATCATTGTTCCTTTAATGCTCCTTACCCAGAAATAAATTCCAGAGAGTTCAACAGGACTTACTTTCAGATAACTGTACATAGGATTGCAGCTTCCATGACAATTTTGCCTCTTCATAAGTAAACTTGGGCAATTATTTTATAATTGATAATTATAATGAAAAGTAGATACTAACTTTCCTAAATAATAAATATAACTATGTCATTTTCTTGCAGAGGATTCTTTTCTCTCTCTTTCCTCTCAGTCACAAATAACCTCATTCATTCAAGAACTGGCTGGTCATTTCATTGTAGAAATATCTCCAAAGGGGATACCATATTAGTCTTTTGCAGCAAAAACAGCAAAGAGTCTTGCTGTTTAAGTGCACCTTAAACACTTATGAATGATTTCAGGAATAAGCTACTGTAGATGAATTTCTCCAAAAGTTCATTCCAGAACAAAATGGTTTGTAAAATGCAACATGACTCTTCGTTGTCATTGTAGGAGAACATGACATGTTCATACAACTATTTCTTCTGCAGAATGCATATGGCAGATTTCATGTGTGGGAGATTTGTGAGTCTATTGGAATGCATTTGGAATTACAGATTTAGGGAATGGTTTCTGCTGGGCTTGGCTATCAAAAATAAAAGGCACACACACACTTTTATCATTGTGTCTATTCACCTTGGATCCCTGACCAAGGTGAGAGAAACTTACAATGTTCTTGAAGAAGTGGACTACTGGGTTGTCATCCACGTATCGTCCGTGCTGAGACCTTGGATGAGGCAGGGAACTTACATGGCTAGCTCTGGCAGCGTGATGATAGTCCTGAAAGACAGGATAGGTTATATCTGTCAATATGCAACCTGAATAGAATCCATGTTCCCCTTTGGAAAGAAAAATTCTAGCAGGGTCCTTAAAGAAAGAAAAATGATGATGATGGAAATAGACACTGGATACAGAAGAACATAAGAAGAGCCCTGATGGACAAGGCTGACGTTCCATCCAGTCCAACATAATCTACCAACAATGTCCCGTCGGATATATTTAAGTGGCCCAGAAACCAGGCCCATAGCAGCAACTGCCTGCTTGACTTGTTAACATGAAGCTGGTGTTAGAGATGTTCCCCATGAACAATGTAGTTCTATTTACCTTTCCTGCCTAAAAAAACCAGCAATCTTATCCTCCATGAGTTTATCTCATTTCCTTCTAAGGATGAGGAAGCATCAGTCCACTATTATTTTTCACAAATTTATTTCCATTATGATGTTTAATGAAGCCTTGCACATTTACAAAGATCTGTGCCTGGTGGATGAGCATTTCTCTGCTTTCACTCCTCAACTTGCTCTGCCCCTTGAAAAGATGTGCATTGGAATTTTGCTATTAATTTTTATGAAGTTGAGTTAGACCTCTGTTCCGTCTGGTGCCATCCAGTGTGACCCATCAGGGGCTCAGGCAGAGGTCTTTCCAGACCCTTTTGGGTGGAAGCCCTAGGAACCTGGATCATCCTCCATGCAGATCATGGCACTGCTGCTGAACAATGGCTACAATGTGTATCTGTCTCTTGCTGAATAAAAAGGACAAGTTGGACAGAGGTCTCTGGTGGTTACAGTCCCCAATTAGTCAACAGTTAATATGCTTTTGAAGTGGAAATATTTTTTGTAAGATTAGGCTACTCAAGAGATGGGCAACTTGTGGTCCTCCAGGGGTTCTTTTTCTCATGCAGTTCCCGTTATCCCCCACCATTAGCTATGCAGGCTTTGGATGATGGGAAATGTAGGCCAAAATATGCAGAGAACTTCTCTGTGTTCATCTGATGGCTACAAAAGGCCATTTGGCATGTGGCAGCCTCTTGTAAACATACCTTTCACAATTTTAGGAGGAATGGTTCAGAGTCCTCTACCATGCATGTGATAAATTATCTCATTAAAAAGTTAACATAAATTATGAAGAAAATCTCCCTACATAATTCTTGACAAGTTTCTGGCTCTTGGTAATGATCATCTGTATCCACCAAGAGTCTTAGTTTGGAGAAAAAGAACAAAAATAGAGAGAAAACAAAGCAATAACTTTTATTGGTCCAAGTAATACAATCCTGGATGCTTCCAAGTTATGGAGAAATCTTTAGGCATTAGTGTTTAAAAGGTATATTTTAGAAAAGAAATAAAATATGAAGTTACATACCAAAGCTGTTATTAACCAAAAAGTGTGGATTTTTCTTTGCCGCTAATGTTTGATCAGAAATTTTATTATCTGGGTTACAAATTTTGCCAGAAAGCCTTAGCTAGTTGCTCAACGAAACAAGTTAGCAAAAGTTCAGTGGGATGCATGAACAATGCTCAGCTGGGAAACAGAAATCAAGTTTCTATATCCGCTGATCTCAGGTGTCACAGGATCCTTGTAATATAGAGAAAATAACAAATGCAAAAGAGGCTGGTCATTATATTTATATTAGCAAAGCCAGAAGTAAATTTGGAGTGCATGTTAGATAAAGACAACTGCAACCTGCAGCAAGATGTTGCAGTGTACAGTGCTCCTGTTTAAGATGCTATTTCCTTCCACACCCATCCAGCCTTGGAGTCCCCGTTGATCCAAAAGTCATTATCCTCTGGCCATTCAGTAGTGTCTAATGATACAACTGATGCTATGGACACACCTGGTTGGTTGAATTCTATCTCCCCCCACGGTATCCTTTGCGCAGGGACCCTCCACAGCAGAACTAAGGCTTATGTTGGAGCTGCACAAAAGGAATGTAGCCATCTGTTGAACACTTCCAGTCCTTATCCAGCTATTTTGCAACTTTTTTCCCTAATGCTTTTTCTGTCCTTCTGGAAATCTTCTGGTTTCTCGAGCTCACTGATAATTCTTCCCTGTGGGTGCTGCTGCTGCTTTGGCTACTGTATGTAGGCAATAGCATTCATGCCTGAATATTGGGAATAAGGAGAACAAAATCTTTCTTATTCCATTCAGCCAGGCATGGACTTCTCCTATTTTCTTTCCCCTTGCTCCAAGGCTCAGTCGGCATTCCATGGGCATTGCTCATGCTCAGTCTTTTTGAACTTTTTGCTTCTTTTACTCCTCTCCGCCCCATGCCTTTTGTACTTCTGCAACCCCGGGGTTTTCCCCAAGCCTCTTGTGCATGGATGGTGCTATTTTAGCTAGATTAGGGCCAAATACAATACCTAAGATCACTATTAGAATATGATGAGAAAAACGGTGGTGATGATGATGGTTTACTCCACATCTTATTTGATTTACTGAATGGTGGATGAAACCCTTGACATTCTGCTATCCTGAAAATGCATCTGATCTTTTAAAGCAACCACAATCCAGAATTAGTTAAATGGGCTTAAAATGCGCTGAACATTCTTTGGCTTGCATCCCTTGCTGACTGCAATTATAACCAATTTTACTCTCTAAATACCTGAGACTTAGCTACTTTTCCATGCTGCCTGATGTTGAATTCTGTGGAACTTGAAAGCTCCCATCGTCCTACATCAATGGAAATCCTGACCTTGCTCTTGTGCCTTGCCAAAGCATTGTGAGATGGATCCCTGAAGTACTAAGTAAAATAAAGTTTGATGAGCACTACATGTAGAATATGGAAGGATATATATTTTGGAGTATCAGTCTCATGCTCTTGTCTCATTAACAGCAAATGTACACTTACCTTCTCTTCCATGGTAGCCAAAATCCAGTGCTGAGCACAGTGTCTGAATGTTTCATGCTTACAACTGTTGCTAATCATGCTTAACAAGTTGCTTACCAGTGATCACTTGGGAGGAGAAGGCATATTTCACAAGACTCTGCAAAAACCTTGGGATCTGATGTAGCAACTATAAATTCCTTTCTCGTTGTTTAAGTTGATAGTTTGAGATATACAGTATCTTGTGGGAAAAACATAGACTGTGGGGTGCAAGCACACCACATCCTTTTGAATAAGCTTCACTACTCTCAACCCACTGCCATCACGTTTGTGGCAGTTGTGGTGACAAAAAAATTGGAGGTGAGAAGTGTGGCCCACCATCCCCAGAAGTTGACCTCCCTTGACTTCATGAAGACTTGCAAACATGTTTAGGTCTAAGCAGTCAAAATTGGATTGACTCTATGAAGACAAATATTTAATTTTTTCCATAGTCTGACACATTCTTTAAAAGCTGTCAATGGCAGAGAAAACAAATACTATGAAGCAAGTGCAGCTTGCTTCAATGTGGCTGTTTTGACTTGTGATATTCCAGAATTATGCAAGCAAACATCTGGGCCTAAAATGCAATTTATATATAAATTATTTTTAATGGATGCTGCATATTTATGGCTTCTGTATCAAAATGTTCCAACCCCTGTATTTTAAGTAATTGAGGTCACAATCCAGTCACCTTTTACATATAAGTAGTTCACAGACTGATGTTTCCTGCTGTTCCTATCAGCTTGTGGTAGGGCAGATAAGTGGATTTGCTTAGCATTCTAACGAAAGAAAGAAAAAAGAGGAAGCATTTCTGAGGTCTTCCCTCAGGCAAGATACAAAAGCATCTGCTTAGTTCCTATCACCATCAGTCATCATCATTGCTTTTATCCAACTTGAAGTTTTAAACAGAGGGTGCTTTACACATGTCCATATATCAAGATAAGTCAAGGCAATAGTGTTGCTTGTGCACATGGATGCAAGAAAGAAGTTCACAGGGTCAAGGAAGGAAGAAGTCCATGGAGTGTCTCCTTGTCTAACACATCATGCTTCCAAGATGGAAGCAAAGCTGATTATTGTGGAAATGTGTAGAATGTCACAAAAGACAAGCCACTGATAAGCACCCTTTGGACTGGGTTGACCGGGATCCAAATTTACAGCAAATCAGCTATGCTGATGCAAGTGGACTCATCTGTTTGTTCCTTCCTTTCCATAGCAGCCACCGACCCCATGAAATGCTATGCAGAGAGTGGGTTCCCACCTCACATTAATCCACCCTGCAATGAGTGATTGTGGATAGGATTGTTGCATGAGCAACACATGGTGTACTCAATAGACCCTGACATGCTCACTATGGGTCCTGCTTCCCCTCCTTCCCCCTGGGTCCTCCTGCTGTACGCCAGGAGTTTTGGCTGTTGCAGATTCCCCTCTCTTCTCCTTGCCACAATCCTGAGCCATTCTTGAGCCCGCACCAGCTTTGCCCCCTTCCTTTGTGGAGAAAGAACACACACCCCCATTTGAAGCTTCTTGGGCTACACTGCCAGCAGGTACCTCCCAGACATTGCTCAGGTGAGGCTTCACATGTTTGGAACTTTGGAAACGCGCACTCGGCAGTTGTGCAAGTATGACTAAAATAACAGAACTGGAAAAACAAGTTGCCCCCTCTAGAACTGCATGCATTTGAGGGGCAAATCTTTTTTTAATAAGCGGTCAATGAGTCACTGTCACTGGTGGAGGAAAGGACACATTTTCCAAAAGTGGCAATGGATATTTTTGGCACTCTTATTTCCTTGATGCATGCAGAGATTCGTTACCTAAATTTGGATTACATATCACCTGTCATGGGTTGAACAACCCTTAAGCAGTCAGGGCTGTTGTGCTGTGGTGGGAGGAAGTAGCATGAAGAAGCACCCCACAAGAACTGGTCTGGATTCAGAGCAACCCACCATGGCTGGGTACCCATGATAGATTTTAGTGTTACATGAATCTGGTTAGAGGGTCAGGGGACCCTGCTGAATAGATGATTTCATGTGTCTGTGTAGGAGATAGATTTCCTAAAAATCAGATGAAGGCATCTTTCATTAGTGGAACTCTTCCTCTCACAGAACGCAGATCAAATACAGCATTACTAAAAATGGATAGAAAA